CCAATTATGTAAAACTCAGTACAATGAATGTGTCTGACATAAAGACTTTAATTATTTATAACTGCACAAGCAATTGTGTATAACTCCACTATAAAGTAATATATAACAAATAAAATAACAAACCGTAAAGTATTGCATACAGATCACATACTCCACATTAAGAATCCAAGGTGCACATCGTGTATTCTTACGTCAGATGCCCAGGTTTAGTTGGAATAGCATTCTCTGGTTTCCGATAAGGCTTGATAGAGGCAATCTCAAACAGGCAAACTCACTGAGCTCCAAGCTGTTTAGTTCTGAGGTACCACTTTGCTCATTTCATGATCCTTTATCAAGAGTCTTCAAGCCTTTAGAAATAATCTCTGGAACCCCCTGGAAAGGAAATTGAGACATCCACATTTAGAAATCCTCCTCTTACTAAAGTGGTGCTGATCCAGGTTCTCAGTAACAAACACTCCCTTGCAGCTAATTTATATATCAACAGCTCTTAATCAGCTGTGGGTCTTTCTTAAAGAGATACACATGTATACAGCAGTGTTCATGTTACCTAAATACAGATTTCTGAAGCCTGGAATTGTTAGCAGGAAATTAAGGTAACAACATTTTAAATCAATGATGGAGGACAGTAACAAAAATAACAGAGAAGAGCTGTATTTCAAGTAGGTGAAGAGATGTAATGCATTTGGATCAGCCTTTTCCCCCAAGTGGGTGTCTTTCAGAGGTACTGTATTCAGCTACAACTTGCATCATGCCTAGCCAGCTAGCTATGCAGACTGAAGGATGAGAGTTATAGTCTCACACATCTGGAGGACATCTGGTTGGAGACAGGCTAATTTAGATAATGAGTTAAGATTTAGACAAACATGGCTACTTGGGAATTCCCAAGGGAGTGTGTTAAGCTATGAAAGTGTAATAAAAACAGTTAACTTGGACATTGGAAATTTTCTCCTTAAAGTTGGACCAGTTTGCTTGGAGCATGATGCAATCCTCCATACAGAGTTCTGTTTCTGTAATACAGGTATAATGTTTACAATGTATATAATGCATGTATACATATATATATAATGCATGTATATATATATATAATGCATGTATAAACTGTCTTTCAGAACAGAATCCTTTTCAACAATATGGAGATTTACTTTAATTATATAGCAATATTGAAATAATAAAGAGTAATGAGCAAGAGGGACAGTAAAAGCAGTTCTGTAATTACCAGTTTTACTTGGAAAGTCTAATAGAGACACAGCTATTAAGAACAAGCACAGACCTAGCCTTCCTGCTTAAATTAAAGCAAAAACTTCTAGGGTACAACTAAAGAAGAAACAGGGAGACCTAATCATGTCTCCAAAGGAGAGAAGTTCCATAGGTGTGGAGCTAGTGCCCAGGTGACTCTGCTTCTCATACTTGCCACATTTTGTACAGGGGCTCTCTGACTGAGTGAATTTTTCAGGCACGTTCATTTGAGCACAGGCGATCAATTTATGTTAACGGTTTTAATATGTACACATACTACAAGCTCATCAAGCTGTACAACATCTACATGGAGCCAAACAAACAAAAACCCACTCTGAAATTAAGAAATGAACATCAAAGTTTCTTTGTTACATCTGCCATCCCACTTTTGTTCCTATGAGCATAAACTGGGATTAACGGCTCTCCACCTCATGCTTGATCCTTACAACAACCACCCTGTGAGGTGGGCAAGGGTGAAATCATGTGACTGTTACAGCTTAGTTTTGAGATTTCTCCTGAATTTTAGACTTAACACTTCAATCTCTATAATCTCTTCTGGTGATTTTTAAATTTACAACCTGCTGTCCTCTGTGTGTTGTTGTTGTTGTTGAAGTTGAAAAGAAGCTTCCCCACCAGCTATGCTGGCCAAGGCTGATAGGAACTGACATTCATCAAGATCTAGAAGACTACAAGTTGCCCACCTCTGCTATAAAAGGCTTAAAAAGTCTGTGTAACCCCCCCAAAAAAAGTCTTTAGCAGTGTCTTAATCTTAACCTTAGGTAATATCCTGGTATTCACCCTCTAACCATCTGCTGTGTAGGTACTGTATCTGATTTATCCTTGCCTGTAGGAATCTGGGTTATCAAAATGGAGTGTGTAGGTGGGAGGTAGCTGAATGCAACTGAATTCTGTAAAATATGTTTTTATCTGAGGAACAGACCAGATTTGGAAAGCACAGAAATGAAGTCAGGAGGCTTTTGCCTCATAGCATGCTGTTTTTCTTTGGTATGCAAAACTCAAAAGGTTAGGCTTCCCTGAGTGTTTTAGCTAATGAGAATAAATGTTAGATGCCAAAATATACATTGTGCATATAAGCAATGTGTAGTGGTTTCATTTGAAATTAAGATATAATCTAACCAGAGCACGTATATAAATTATATACAATGCATACCTGAACTCAAATGACTTCTTGTGTGTGGCATGAAATGAAGCTTTGTTGAACATCATCTTGAGCTAGTTGTTGGTGGTAGGACACTTGGCTACAGTCCTACATGTTTTCCACACAGGTTTCATGATTAGCTTCTCAGTTCTAACTCTAGTGGTTTAGAAGTAGCTGCTCTTGATTTCAAAATATTTTGGTGGTTAGAGTGGCTTCTGCATAAAAAATCTCAGTCATTTGAATGACAGCTAGTATGTGTGGATGTGCCACTGAAGATTAAGCACCAAAGGAAAAACAGAAATATAGGATGCAGTTGATTGATATTGCCCACTTCCCTCTACTCTGATGACCAGTGACTCTCCAGGGTTTCACACAGGAATCTCTCCTAGCCCTGTTTGAATCGTTGGCATTATCTGATAGTCTCCCACCCAAGTACTAACCAGACCCAACCCTGCTTAGCTTTTGAAATCAAATATACTCAAGATATATTCATGCTGTTATGCTGAGTAAGAAATTCTCCTTTGGATAGAGTGGAACAGTACCAGCTGCTAAACATATGGAAGTGACCTCATGCAGAAGTTATATAGAATGAGGTATGAAGGAAGATTGCCTGACAGTTCTTTCCATGAAAACTATGGCTGAAATCCTCTTGCTTAGTAAGTTCAACTAAAGTAGGCACATTCAATCAGTGGAGGTTTGGTGACTTAATTCCCCCCTAAGTTCTGCTGATTCAGGCTTACTCTAGTTGCAGCTGATTATGCTATGCAACAGGATTTCAGCCTGTTATCTCCAGCCTCCTTCTGGATGCTGGCATCACAACTGATTCAGTACCACAGACTGCTTCCCTTCCAGAACTCTTTGTGTGTTCTGCTGTGTCTGTAGTGCTCTGAGGAAAAGAGGCTTCCTGGATCACCTAAGTAATATAGTTGTCTGCGTGTATAATTCCTTTGCAACTGTGATGGCAAATCTTTCGTGAAAGACTTTGTGGCTATGAATGTGCTAGATCCTGGGCATAACAAATCTGTTGCATCAAAAAGTTTTTATGCTTAATTGAATCCATGTTAAATGTTATTAAAGAAATAAGTTGCATTTATCTTCATACCATAAAAAAGGAAAGAAAGGGGGAAATCAGAATGCAATTTAAAACACATCAGGTTGGACTGAGAATTAGGTCATACCAATGATTTATTGTGTAATATATTGTGCAAACAGAAGGGTTTTTTTTTACATCAGTTTTATGCCACATTAACTGCCATGACTGTATCCTGTGGAATATAGTAGTACCTCGGTTTACAAATTTAATGCATTCTCTGGGACATTTTGTATTGCAAAAATTTCGTAAACCGAAGCATTATTTTCAATGGATTTTCATTCGTAAACCGAAAATTACGTTAACTGAGGCATTTGTAAACTGAGGTACCATGTACCTCGATGATCAGCTTGGTAAAGGACTTCGAATTTTGTGTGAGAGTTGGATAAGCCATTCCTGAACTGTAGCATTAGAGCTTGCTAACAAGGAGTTCTCAGTATCTTAAAATGTATGCTTGCACAAACTCTGCTCTTTCAGAACCGCACCACTGTCAGGATCTCTTCCATTGACATATTTGTGGATCTAGCCCTAAGGCTTTTTGGCTGAATCCAGAGCATGGATGTGATCTGTAATCCAGCTCCTCAGACATTTTCATAGTACTCTAGCTGAATATTCTGCTTGTTGGGTGGATTTGTGAAATGCAGGGAAATGTTGTGAATTAGCAATACTTGGATATATTGTGGTTTCCAAGCAAAACAACTTGGGGAAATCTACTAAGGGTGTGGCTTGAAAGGAAGCTATCCCAACTTGGCTGGGTTGTTTCAAAGTTTCCTATGGTGGTTAAATCACTATAGTCATTCATACAGAATATTTAATTATCCAGGACAATTTTCAGGGCAAGAGTTAGCACCTCAAATCACTACAGTTTTCACTGGGACAACAGATTGCCCATTCTCCTCTGCCATCTTCCTTGCCTCTTTTTTAAAAAAGGCAAGTGGCATAGAACTGTAGTGATATAGCACCTCCTTAAACTTCATGACATTGCCGTATTTGAAAAGCAAAATAAAAAGTTGTTTAGACAAAAAACAAAAAGTGCTCACTTGAGGGGGATATTCCTGCTATAATGACATACCTTTCATCCAGGCAATACAGCAAGAACATTCCCCTCAAGTGAGCACCTCTTGTCTTTCTTCTGGGAGAGGGGGACCCTGTTATTCTTCTTTTCCAGTATAGTATTATGCCATATAAGTACTGCAGTTGCACAAGTTAGACTAACAAATTATAATACCAAGTAAGTGCTATGTCACTTGGGAAAAAAAGCACCACACCATCAACATCACCCTAGGACACACCCGCCCCTTCCCTTTGGGATTGATGTAGCTGATTATGCCTGCCAGAAACTGAAAGAAAGTGGTGTCACTATAGATAAACACTAGCCCCTGCTGGTGGAGTCAATGGCAGTCTAGTTGCATGTTCAGTAATTTTTGCATTGTAGGTAGCAGCTTTAAAAATATACATTACTTTGCATATCAGAAGCAGTTGCATAGACTAATTCTAAGGGATTTCCCCCCCTAGTTCCTGCAGAACCTTTGTTGTGCAAGTTTGCAGATGGAGGACAAAAAAAGAGGCAAAATCAGAACAAATATATACAAAATGGAAGAGCATGGCACAGAGAAGGCGAGGTGAGACTTGTAAGTCCTCATTTCAACCTTTTGTTTCTTGTGTGTGCATGCAAATTAAGATAATATTCAAAGATACACTAACATGGCATTATCCTATATTATACAATACCTTTTATAACTCTTGTTTGATAATGATACTTAAATGCATATTAACAGTATCACACACCTATGTACAGTACTTTGTAGGAATGTATTTGGTTTATTTTTTGTTTTCATTGTTTATTTGAAGGTCATCCTGCTTGTGACTTTAAAAGTTAACTATACAATAAAATCAAAATTGCACTTCAGACAAGCCTGAGGGAGCGGAAACACCAGTTATATACAATCAAGAAAAAGCACAGTGAAGTGAGAAATCATCCATGTCATTACATCAAAGTCAGGTTCACAGATCCCAAAAGATTCTCTCAAAGAATCAGACTGCTAATTCTATAAAATTAGGGCCGCTGCTAAATTTAGGAACCAAAAAGGAAAAACTTTAGAATGCCAGTGGTTATATAAATTCTCCCCTTTTTTATTATTTTGAGGAGCCTGACATATTTCAGCCCTTTACTATTTCTGGGCCTACCTCAGAGCATAAATGAAATATTAAAATGTAGCTCCAATATGTAACTAGAATATCAAAACATGTTAAAATACATTGGGGGTTTTGACTTTTTTTGTAAATAAATGCACAATAATTCAAAAACAGTACTTACAAACCCATAGGAACACAAATGCTCAGCAGTGAGAGGACACTGGGCTCCTAAACCCAATTCCTTATAGAAACCCCTCTGGTCCTCCACTAAGAATAATCTAATGGTTGTGCAGCAAGGGTTAGGAGCAGATGCCCTTCCGGATGTTGTTGGATGTACAGCTCTGGCCAGTGTAGGCAGTGGTGAATGGGGTTCCCCATCACTCAGTTGCAGAACGGTCCATGTAAGGCAAAGCTGAGACAAAAACGTCCCTGATACACAGAGTGGGGAAGTATCTCTTCCCCCCCTGTTTCCCCCCCCCCCCAGTTTAGAAAGACAGCTCCCTGGGCCCAGAGGGAACCTTGTAGACAGGACCTGCACCCAGTGAAACAGATTACAGTACTTGCTGCGTATCACTTATGCCAACAGAATTTGACAAACAAACAAACAAACAAAAAACCAAGGCGAAACAGATTACAGTACTTGCTGCGTATTTGACAAACAAACAAACAAAAAACAAGGCTAGGCTGGCATTGCGGTAGCTTTGACTGTTTCCAACAGATGGGCTAGTGCTGTGTTTTGGTTGGGAGTGATAAGCCGTCTCTTTATTGACTGTTTATTTTCTTCCTTTCCCTGAAGGCTGGGCTGACACTTACTTATGATCCAACTACAGCTGCTTTACAAAATGGGTACGTTGAGCTGGATGCTTGATAGATGTAAGAGATTCTGTGGTGCCTTTTTCAAAAGTTATTAATAAGGATGCCTGTATTTTTGTTTTTATTATCTTTAGATTCTACCCTTCACCATACAGTATTGCGACAAACAGAATGATCACTCAGACGTCTATCACGCCCTATATTGCTTCTCCAGTTTCTACATACCAGGTCTGTATATCAAGTTTAGTGGGATAAAATGCTTAATGCTTTGTTTATTTCAGGCTTGGGTGGTTATGTGGAATGACAAAAATGACATTTGATGAGGCCCTGAAGTATGTCTCACCAAAAAAAAAATCATTACAGTAATAAGAATTGGAAGTGTTTGTCCTTTTTGAAGTCATCTTTGTTTCCTGTACCGCAGAGATTGATGTGTGGATTGTGATGGAATAACAGCTTCTACTGTTTCACTTTACTGCTGAGACAGGGATAATAGATTGTTTTTCAGGAAGCCCTGGGTATCTTCAGATACCCATCAAGCCTTCTTCAGTGAAAAGATGAGCAATAGGAGATTAGCCTTCCTGAATGACGGCTTGCTTGCTAACCTCAGACCTGCCTTGCACGTGCATTCGGAAACCCCTGAACTTCTGCAGCCAGTAGGTGTACTGTATGCTGCTAAGAGAGATCCCTAGAGAAGTATCTCTATGGAAAGTGGTACACGATAAATACCTCAGCCAGTTCAGACTGGGAGGTGGAGGGCTGCAAACATCTACAACTGATGTGGCATTCACTTCGCTTCCATACAGCAAAGGACTTCAAAGAGAATTTGGGGCTGAAGGGAGAAGGCTGAACCCAAGACAGGCCACTGTAGAAGTTCAGGGCCAGAGAAGAAAGCGCTTACACGCTCTTCAAATCTACCATGGGGCTGGGGTGAGCAAAGAGACATAAAGGCCTGGCATAAACTTACCAAGAATTCTCGCAGTGTTGCGTCAGCCTTTCAGGGAGGCTCTGGTTGAGTGGGACAAAAAAAACAATCCCCATTAACAAGACACTTCATGAATCTTGTGCCTTTTTCAATGGCTTAGGCCTTTGGCTGTGGAGCCAGAGGTTGGGAGTTTAATTCCCTACTGGGCCTCCTTAGCAGGGGCTCCACTCAATAAACCGTAGGGTCCCTTCCGGCACCACGCCTTCCATATGGAGGCTCTGAATTACAGGGAAAGGGAAGATTGGAAAGTGAAACTGAAGTGCCGTGGGTGGAGGTTCCATGTGCTCACTTTCCATGTGTGGCAACAGAAATTTGCACTCAGAGCAGATGTTACAGTGCATGGTGGAAGCTCTAGAACCATCAGAGGAGGGAGTGGGGAAGGATAAAGGGAAGGGAAGGACGCTGGGCTGAGCCAACACAACAGCCTGTAGCTTTTCTGAGAGCTTGGAGAGAGAGAGAGAGAGAAAGCCTCTATCAGAACTAATTCTCCCAGTCACCCTCACAAGCCTCAGAGATTCTTGCGATTCCCAGAGCCCAGCAGGGTGCTCTTCTCCCAACTTACCGGAGGGACGGCTGAGAATTGAATAGAGGTAGACAAGCTATTCTACCTCCTGCTGCTTTGGGGTTTGCATCCCCAGAATTTGGCTTGGTGTGTTCCCACCAACGTATGGGAGCGGACGTCCATTAAATACGAAGGTACCATCCATAGTTAACTCACTGTGCTTTGTCCAGCATGTGAGCGGAAGTATGTCTACTTCACTCTGCTGCTCCCTTTCCTCATCAATACATCAGCGCAATCTAGAGAGGAAGTGGTTCTTGTTCCCATGTAGGCTCTCCATGTGAGCAGGAAACCTGATTTAAATGGCTGCCGTGAATTCACCTATTCCACTAGTCAAGAACTGAACTTACAGAGCCTCCTAACGCTACCCAGTTCTGGATTCTGTTCAGCTACTAGCCATTTTTAAAAAGGAAATTGACATTTAATATTCAATATTTCTTGAAATATAATGCGGCATCAAAGGCACCAGTTTCATTTTGTGGAAGGGCTGCTTCTCAGTTCCCATCTGTTGCTAATTGGACTGGAGAGGAGAAAAATCCTTCAGTTCTTCCCATTTCAGGTTTTCGCCAACGACTGTTGCTTCATGGCAAAGTTTTTTGCCGCCACCGCTCTCCAAAAAAAAAAAAAAATAGCTGCTTAACTCACCTACATTAAAGTTCTAGTGTCCAGCTGCCATCAGACTGGGCATTCTGTCAGGATTTAAGCAGTTTCTGATAATGTAAATCTCAGCCAGTCTGAGAAAGAGGAAACAGATGTTACCGCTCGGCAGAACCACTCTCTTCTTGCTGTCTGAGAGAAGCCTACAGAGGAGCACATCACATCCTGTACTCTTGCTGTCTTTCTGATCTCATATTAGAATTGTTGGCATTTGTCTCACTGTGTGCCGTCCAAAAGAAAAGAAAACCAAACTGGCCTGGCGTTTTCTTTCAGTTCTTTCTAAAAGTGAACTTGAGGAATCAGTGGCAAATCCTGCGGGGTTTTTTTTTCCTTCTGCACTTTACCACCACCCCAGAATCTCAGAGCTACTGAGGAATTTATTGTCTGTTTTGGGAGTCTCCTGACAGTGATCTGAATGAACTACAATGTTGAGACAGTTTTAAAGGAGTGGGGAAAGTTGGTGATCCCACAGGTATTGTGCTATGAATTTGCTGCTGCTTTCCCATTGTCATGGTACAGAAGGGGTTGGGACTGAGGAATGTCTCCATGGATGAAGGCCATCTTTCCTAATCTTGGGTCTCAGGTGTGGCTGTACTACAATTTCCATCATCCATGATGTTTGGTTTTATTGGAAATAATACACAGGCAACATCTCTGGGAACACAAGGTTAGGGAAGAATAACTTGGGATCAGATACTTTGAATTTTAATGTAAAATGTAAGCAGCAGCAGCATCCTCATCATCCTCGTTGTTGCAATTGTTTTTTAAAGGAAAGCACTTTTATCATTTAGGTGCAAAGCCCTTCTTGGATGCAGCCACAACCGTATATAATGCAGCATCCCGTAAGTATGATGTACGCATGCTTGAAACTGTCACGTCATACTGTAGGAGTGTTCTCTTGCCTTCCATTTTTTTCACCTAGTTCATCCTCCTTCGTGGGTACTAGATCTTACTACCCACTGCACAAGGTGGACCTAGCCTCATCTTGTGTGATTCTGGTCTGACTTTGGCTTTGTTAGAGAAGTAGAAAGCTGTTTAGTGCAGATCATGTTTTTATAAAAAGGACAGGTAAGCAGGGTTGAGATGAAGGAGCTGAGGCATTTAGAATTCTTTGTAGCAGCATATGGGTTCCATTATATAGATCAGTGGTTCTCAGCCTTTTCTGAATCATGAATCACTTTATAGTAGCCAAGTACTGTAACTTGTAGCCCTCCCGCTATGTTTGCATAAAAATCCATTTTTAATGAAGTAAAGTCATCACTGCTCAGAAAGTAGAGGCCTCTTTCTCCTTCAAAGGGCCTGTTTCCCATGCATACACATACAGCCTAACTTTAATATCCAGCTCTCAATGTTCAAGGAAGAAATTATTTAACAAGAGCTACAATACATATAAGTGACCCATGACACACACGCCCGAGAAAACACTTTATGACCCCCCCTTAAGGGTCATGACCCCCAGATTGGGAAATGCTGGTACAGAGGAAATAAAGAAGGAACATTTTAGCGGACACACCAGCGTGTTCCATAAGTAGGCACAACAAAATTGTTGAAACCTAAGGAAGCTGTTCAGTAGTCACATGCTGTTTGTTCCAAGATCTCAAGGAGCTCAGGCAGAGGTCTTCCCACATCGCCTTGCTGCCCAAGGTTTATTTTAACTGGAGGTGTCAATCCAACCAATGCATGGAAATCTCCCTTGATTTATTTATTAAAAATACCTGGACCCTTCCTTTCTCCTTAAAAAGGACCCAAGGCAGCTTTTTAGCAGACACAAGAATATGTGGATTTTGGTTCTACGCATTAGAACAAGATTGCTAGTTAATTAGAGATGGGGATGGCCCACCAAAATGGCAGTTCATCTTGGTTTGTGGGTCGTCAAGACTGACAAACCACAAAGTTACTGATGTTTCACTGATGAATCTCAGATTGGTTCGTCGGCGCTCGTTTTGGTTTTTAAAAAAATCTGAGACACACACACACACACGACCCCACAACTGACCCCTGTCCCCTTCCTACTGCCCCTATCCCCTTCCTATGTTGTCCTGCTGCCCCTGCCACCTCCGCTGCCATCATGCAGATGGTGATCTCAACTTCCATTCTGGCAGGCTAGCCTTGTGCGCTCTGCCTGTGCACCTGCCACACAGCTAATTGGTGGGTGCATAGGCAGAGAGGGAAGGCTAGGCTGCCGGAATGGAAACAGCCATTCCGGCAGCCTAAGCTTAGGACAATTTTTTTTAAAAAGGTAAATATTTTTAACCCGTTGTATTTGGTGAAGTCTTTGGAATTGAGAAACATGAAGCGAAAAATATTTGACAAATCAGCGGTTTTCTATGAATATCACAATTTGGTTTTTTATTCATCCCCATGTCTATAGTTAATACCTCTGGATCTTCACTACATGTGAGGGATACATATTGGCTCCCACTTAGAGAATAACTTCTGTATTTTTGTGGAGTATTTCTGTTTAATATGGCTTCATCCTACCCACCTGTTTACAAGAATGTGGGAAAGCTGCCGTACTGGACTGCAGCTCTTAGAATTCCCTAGCTAGGGTTTTTTTTTTAAGAAAGAAGCCAAGGGAGTCAATAATTTGAAAACAATGGTTACATTGTGGGTTGTTGGCTTCAGGATACATCCATGAATCTCTTCTGACTGGAATTGGACATTGCTAGCACTGTATTTGAACACTGTTATGTTCTGTTATCAAAGAAGATTTTCAGTTGCATGTACTTTTGCAAATAGCACACACAGATACCCCAAAGTAGGAGGTTTAAACCAATAGGAATCATGTGAGTTGTCAGTATTTAAATCTGAGTCATTTTTCTTTTACTGTTGATAGGGTGCTGTATTAACTCCTTCCATGGAGCACACCATGTCGTTGCAGCCTGCATCAATGATAAGTCCACTGGCACAGCAGATGAGTCACCTTTCATTGGGCAGTACTGGAACAGTACGTGTCAATCTGAGTGAAACAGCACAAAGCTCTTACTGCGTGTGTTTTTGGTGTCATTAACGTGTTCTACCTGACATGTGCCTTTACTGACCTGTGAATTGTATGTTCATTGGAAACCCATGTTTTTGGTTTTTCTAAAGTGGAATCATGTCCATTCACCATTCAGTTGCTAGGGTTGCAGCTTTAACTGTTTGGAAAGAGGTGGGAGATGTAATTATTTCCGTGTTTGAGGGTAGGAGATGGAGTCTAGCCACATTTCCTTTTATCCACATAGAAGAAGGGAGGGTTGGGGTGGGGGTTATCTTTCTGAAATATAAGCTCTGCCGCCTCAAAGCTGTCATCTGTCCTCTGATGTGTTTGCCTCTAGGCTGTGGTGGATGGCCAGCATTTCTAGATCTTAAAAGTGATAAATTGTTAATATATGGGAAAGCCACCAGCAGGACATGAGCACCCTTCCTCTCATGCTACCCAGCATTTATTTCTTTATTTGCATTTCTATATTGCCCATCTAGTGAGAGTCCACTACTTTGGGGAGTTTGCGTCTAAATTAATAGTTTCCCAGCTCCCCCGAGGCATAATGCATCTAATACAGGAGGAGATATATAGCCTTCATGCTACGATGTTTCCCTGGAAATAAGACAGGGTCTTGTACAGTGGTGCCTCGCTAGACAGTCACCCTACATGACAGTTTTTTCGCTAGACATTGACTTTTTGCAATCGCTATAGCGATACGCAAAACAGTGATTCCTATGGGGGAATTTTGCTGGACATTGTTTGTTCCCTGCTTCGCAAACTGATTTTCGCTAGACACCGATTTTGACAGCTCCCTCTGTGCTCGCAAAACGGGTGTTTTCAGGACCTACGCTTCGCAAGACAGCGATTTAAACAGCTGATTGGCGGTTCGCAAAGTGGTTTCCTATGGCCGATCTTCGCTAGACAACGACGATTCTTCCCCATTGGAACGCATTAAATATATTTCAATGCATTCCAGTGGGGAAATGCTTTTCGCTGGACAATGATTTCGCTAAACAGCTATTTCAGTGGAATGGATTATCATTGTCTAGCGAGGCACCACTGTATTAATTTTTGCTCCAAAAATGTTTTTTTTTTTTTTCATGTACAACAATCCACATTTATTCAAATACAGTCATGTCATCTTCCGGTTGCTGCACAATGATGGAGGGCAGGGTTTCACTTAACGGGGTTATTTTTGGGGTAGGGCTTAAATTAAGAGCATACTAGGGCTTATTTTCAGGGTAGGTCTTATTTTCGGGGAAACAGGATAGTTATTGATAGCCTTGGAGTACAAGTAGGTGCTTATTTGGACTGCATTTTGTAGCATTGTCTGGTTCATTTTGTTTGCCAGCCATCAGACAACATATCACAGATTGGAACCAGCCCAGCCCTGCTTCATCACTTTTCTGGACCTTCTAGGTCCAGCAGCTGAGCTAAAGCACTGCAATTACTTCACAATTCACAGAATACCTTAGAGTGGTGCGCTGACCCATCCTCTGTCCTCACATGGCTGGGAGGAGGAACCTGGAATCTTATTCTTCCACCTTTGTATTGCTATCATTTTGTCAAGTGTACAAGTGTGGCTAATAGGAACTGAATTTGATTTGAAGTCATGGTTAAAGTTAACTAATTTACCAATTTGGACAAACAGCAAGCTGCAGTTAAGCAACCATGGAAGGAGAGGGGAGGATTCAGGCCCAGCATTGGCTGAGATTCTTTCATATTGGCTGGCCTGTGAAGAATGGTTAAGACAATTCATGCTAAAGCCTTGCCCACTGAGAGTGGATTCCTGTTGAATCCAAACATGATGGTTCCTTGTCTTAAGGGTGTGCAAACTGGCTTCTTCCCAAAGCCTGAGCAGGTTGGATATCCATACTGGTGGGAAGGTAAGGAAGGGTGCTTGCTCCCCATCTGTAATCCAGAACTTGACATTGCTTTAGATGTACACAGATAAAAAATACAATCAGCTCCATAATTCATAAATATAATTCTTTCTGCAGACTTAATTGTTGAGAAATTCTATGAATATCACTTGTGCACGGAACAGTACTGTTAGCCATCTATCTTGCATTTCCCTATTTTAATCCAACCCTGCATTGATTGTACTCTCTGAATCCATCATTTTCTTCCTTTCATAGTACATGCCTGCCACAACAGCTATGCAAGGAGCCTATATACCCCAGTATACACACGTTCAGACCGCAGCTGTTCCAGTTGAGGTACATAAATCTTTGTTGAACAGAGTGTATTTTAGTAAATTATTTTGTTGCTGTGAAGAAGGTGTAATGCATGCTTTTCATGTTAAATTATCCTCCAGTGTAAATGAGAACCCTGCTTATGCTAACTGAGTCTTTTCATATGAAGGGTGTGATAACAATTAGGGCAAGATGTATGTACAGTCCTTCTGAGAAGCAATGATGGAGCACAGATTAATTAGCCAATTTGCTTGATAATTAGTCACTCTATGTGAAAAAAAAATGTATTAAACTGTGCGTTCTTGTATCTCATTATTAAACATGCTCTGATACGGCAATAGTGATTGTTAGTAAAATTAAAGTGGAAAAAAATGAAGGGCAAAATATTGTAGCATCATAAAGACCAACAGATTTGATTCTGTGTGAACTTCTGTCAATCAGCATCTGCTTCCTTGGGTGGATTATGAGAAGGAAGCATACCTAAGGAGGAAGATGTTGATCCATGGCCACTCACTGTGAAACAAGGCTGTTGCCTTTTCTCTTTCTCTCTCCTTTACCCTTCCCCCTTGTTCCCCTCGAATTTTGCCAATCTGCTGAAACAGATCTACCGAGTTGCCTCTTTGGAAACTGCTGCGAGAATGATTGTCATTAAACCTGATCATTTTATGCATTTTAGACTGGCCTGGAAATGGTGACCTTGTCTTCCTAAGTTTGAACAACTAGCTGGAATTCATTCTACTTTGCATTGCCTTCTTTCTTCCCTTTTTTTTAACAGGAGGCCAGTGGTCAACAGCAAGTTACAGTAGAGACGTCCAGTGATCATTCTCCCTATACTTATCAGCAGAACAAGTAATTGTGAGGTAAGAGTTGGTGCCCTGTTTCTTTGAGTATATATTGTGTGTGTGGGGGGGGAGACTCCTTGTGTACAAATGCAAAGGCTGCAGATTATTTTCTGGATCCAGAATTAATTAATTAATTAATTAATTAATTAATTAATTAATTAATTAATTAATTAATTAATTAATTAATTAATTAATTAATTAATTAATTAATTAATTAATTAATTAATTAATTAATTAATTAATTAATTAATTAATTAATTAATTAATTAATTAATTAATTAATTAATTAATTAATTAATTAATTAATTAGAATCTACACATATAATCTGCTAATGCATCGATTGGGACTTTGAATGCCTTCTCAGTGTTTGTAACTTGACTGAGATGCCTCTTGCACAACATATCAGGTTACTGGATAATAGAGGACAGATATGTCCACTCCCGTTGATCACCGTAATATATGGCGGTGACAAACAAATTTTCTTTGGCTTGGTTAGGGCACTTCATTAAGAGATTTACAATGTTCATTTTTTCATTGACACTTGTGACAGATGTGTCGAAGTGTCACATTTGGATTTAAATACTGACCTGCAGTTTTTAAGTTCGCTTTCAAATACATTTTAATTACAAGCATCACCACTCTAATCCCATTAGTTGCCTTACTCTTGCTTGAAAATGACCATCGTATTTTCATGCAGTGGTGGGAAATGGACTGAGAACTACTGTATTTTTCACTCCATAAGACGCACCTTTCCACAAGACGCACCAAATTTTTAGAAGAAAACAGGCAAAAAATAATTTGTTTTCTTCTCCTAAAAATTGGTGAGCTTTATGGAGAGGTCCATCTTATGAAACACATCCTAGGACCCTTTGGAGGCTCCCCCTGCCCCCCCGCTGGGCCAGAGGGGGGGAATCGCTAGCTTCTGGGGAGCCTCAAAACACTCCCAGAAGCTGGCAATTTTACACCCCTGGCCCGGTGGGGGTGGGGGCTGGGGGGAGCGTGGCAAGGGTCCTGGGAGGCTCCCTCAGACCCTTGCCACGCTCCCCCCAGCCCCCACCCCCACCGGGCCAGGGGTGTAAAATTGCCAGCTTCTGGGAGTGTTTTGAGGCTCCCCAGAAGCTAGCGATTCCCCCCCTCTGGCCCAGCGGGGGGGCAGGGGGAGCCTCCAAAGGGTCCTAGGATGTGTTCCATAAGATGGACCTCTCCATAAAGCTCACCAATTTTTAGGAGAAGAAAACAAATTATTTTTTGCCTGTTTTCTTCTAAAAATTGGTGAGCTTTATGGAGAGGTCCATCTTATGAAACACATCCTAGGACCCTTTGGAGGCTCCCCCTGCCCCCCCGCTGGGCCAGAGGGGGGGAATCGCTAGCTTCTGGGGAGCCTCAAAACACTCCCAGAAGCTGGCAATTTTACACCCCTGGCCCGGTGGGGGTGGGGGCTGGGGGGAGCGTGGCAAGGGTCCTGGGAGGCTCCCTTGGACCCTTGCCACCCCCACACCACCCCACGGGGCCAGGCGGGTAAAATCGCTAGCTTCTGGGAAGCCTCAAAACACTCCCAGAAACTGGCGATTTTGCCGGTGCTGGCCCCTGCGGGGGTGGGGGGGGCGTAGCAAAGGGCTG